GGAACTGGAGAAGGACGTGAAAAGAACGCTCGACCGTTTTCTCCAAAAATGGACCAAAGTCTCGCTGATGTCAAGTTTAGGGTCCTTGTCGATTTCAAGGAACTGCGTTAGAGCGCCGATACTAACGACCCAAAGAAGAAGTACGAAGAATAAAATGAACTATACCATTTTGAAAAACAACCACATAAAGACGTTTCGTATGGCAGAATGTTGCTCTCAACATCGAATCAACTTCAAAATGACGAAGACCTATTGTGCTCGATTTCCTCAGTATGGAGATCAGAACGTCTTCCCAGATCTCCACATTGGCATTCAGATAACGCTGTGCCGTCCATCACTAGAGAGGGCATTCAGTAAGTTAAAGGTAATACTTTCGCTTTTGAGATTCTCCACGGTCTCTTACTCCTCTGAATGTTAACAGGAAAAAAAAAGTAATTATAAATAGGAAAGAGCATATCATCGACCAACCTGCGTGAGTGAAGGCAAGAAAGGTGCAGTTTTAAGCTCCGTGTAATGCCATAATTGACATAAAAATTAACGCTCTTCATTTGTATCTGAGCTGATGTTATGGTTGAGATGTCACATGTTTGAATAGGGAAGCAGTTTTATTGGTTATCGTGTTTACCATAAGCACTTGTTTTCGTAAAAATGACCCTGTCATTTCTACCTACCCCACGCCTTTCACTCTCTCTTTTTCTTTTTCTCCCTCCCTCTGTTTCTCCCTCTCTCTCTCTCTCTCTCTCTCTCTCTCTCTCTCTCCCTCTCCCTCCCTGTCTCACACTCTTCTTCCTCCCTCCCTCTCTCTCTCTCTTTCTCTTTCTCTTTCTCTCTATTCATTTCTATTTATATGTATATCTCTCTCTATCTCAACCTTGCTTTCATTGCCACAAGTATTGTGTATACATTAATTTCTTCTTTGTACCTGCATTTTCCTCTCTTTAATTATTCGTTTTTCTCTTACATAAATAATAGTGCTTACGGTAATGGTTACAACAAAAATGACAATTATAAACACAACAGCTCACAGGCCCACAAAGAGATCACCATGGCAACGCAAAGGTAACCGAGAAAAATAGTAAGCACAAAGAAAGGTCAATAAAAGACGCTTTCAGGTACGAATTCGAGGGCAAGACCCATGATATGGCAGTGACGCTCCGTTTTCTTTGAAGTCTCCTTCCTTTATGCCCGTTTTCTTTGTCATTTCAAGTTACGTGCATGGATAGTAAGAATGACAGTAAAATGAGACGACAATAATATATTAGGAATAATAAGAATAACCCAGTAGATCTTCCTTCTGTAAATGTAGTCACGTATATGTTTTTTTTAAACACTGAAAGACGGTTTGTATAGAGAGAAAACGGCAATAATTTATGTTGTTTATATAATTCTTATTATTTTTGTTACCTTATGTGTTGTGAACAAATGTCGATGCTTTGTTGCGTTCTTTGTGCGCATGAAACTTTTTTTTTATTACTTGTTTTTACGTCAGGAAATCAAAATGTTATATCACACTGAATACAAAATTCAAATACAAATAAACACACATATATATTGCAATATATTACAATATTCTATTATCTTATTGTCTATGACGCATGACATCTTCAGCAAAATAAGAAAATGGTGATAGGAAATAAATCTCATAGTCTCATATACGAAAAAATATATATATAAATAATAATATATATTAAGGATACATGAATGTAAATAGCAGTAATGACAAGAATAATAACAATAATTATAACATTAACAGCAAAAATAATAATGGGAAATAACAGTAATTCTAATGATAATTTTCCCTAGAGCAATAATCGTAATTATTGCAAAAGTATGTCTGCGTGCGTGTCCGTGTGTGTGTGAGTAAGTGTGCGTGTGTGTGTGTCCGTATTCGTGTGTGTACGTGTCCGTATGCGTTTGTATTTGTGTGTGCGCGTCCGTATGCGTGTGCGTGTCGGTGTCCGTATGCGTGTGTGCGCGCGTCCGTATTCGTGCGTGCGTGTGCGTGTCCGTAAGCGTGTGTGTGCGCGTCCTTATGTGTGTGTGCGCGCGTGTCCGTATGCGTGTGCGAGAGAAAGCACGTGTACGCGTGTGCAAGTAGATATAGGTGTCCGAAATAACGTTTTGTTTCCATGGCTTCCTCGTCATCCCCTGAGCACCAATATCACTCCAGTAGTAATCTCATTAGTGTAGAATTGTACTCTGTCCCCGTGTACGCAAGGGGCAACCTGAGGCGGCGTCCCATTCATTCAGAATTCAATATCAATCAGTGTGAATTCCTGCCGTTGATGCGCAGGTAATATCGTATAGCAATTGTTATTATTGACTTGTTTTTTTTTATCTTTCTCTGAAATGGTTTCTCTTTTCTTTTCTTTTCTTCTCTATTATATCAATAATATAATAATAATGATGATGATGATGATGATGATGATGATGATGATGATGATGATGATGAGGATGAGGATGATGATGATGATGATGATGATGATGATGATGATGATGATGATGATGATGATGATGATGATGATAATACCAATACCAAAAACGATAACAACAATGATAATGACAATAACATTAATAAGAGAAATAATAATGATGATGATGATGATGATGATGATGATGAGGATGAGGATGATGATGATGATGATGATGATGATGATGATGATGATGATGAGGAGGAGGAGGAGGAGGAGGATGATGATGATGATGAGGATGAGGATGATGATGATAACTACAATGAGAATAACAATAACAATGACAATAACAATAACAATGACAATAACATCATCAATAATAGTAATAACAATTTTTTTTTTAATGATAATGATGATGATGGTGATGATAATGATGATGATAATACCAATACCAAAAACAATAACAACAATGATAATGACAATAACATTAATAAGAGAAATAATAATGATGATGATGATGATGATGATGATGATGATGATGAGGAGGAGGAGGAGGAGGAGGAGGAGGAGGAGGAGGAGGATGAGGAGGAGGAGGAGGAGGATATCAAATGTAATGATGATGATGATGATGATGAGGATGATGATGATGATGATGATGATGGTGATGATAAGGATATCAAATGTAATGTTAACACTAATGATAATCATAATCATAATAATCAAAGGTAGAAGTATTGGACAGACAAACAGGTAGATAAGGAAGGCGAGGCATAGAAAATGAGCGAAAGAAAGAGAGAGAAAAAAGAGAATGAAAAAGAGAAAGATATACAAAGTTGGATTAAGCAAATCGACGCCAAAACTAATGAGGACAAAATTTAATTAATCAGAATTTGTTTTTCAACTTCTCT